ACATAGTACTGCCGTACGTTGTCAAATTAAAAAAGCAACATAAACCTTTTCCCTTAGACGGGGTAAAATCATTTTCTTCATTTCGCATTATTAGTTTTAAGATTAAGGTTTTTTATTAAAGTAAAACTAAGAAAAAAAAATGTCACTTGACCTTGGTCAATTTGTGAGAATCGATAGTCAACCGAGAATTGAATATATATGTCAATAATATGTTATAGACAAACGATCAACCCTTATTGTAAACACTCTAACAATAAAAATATATTTTTAAGAACATTATTATTTTAGGTTCTATGTATGTATTGACACATGTACTTCTACCATTACAGTATTCCATGAATGAGTTCATTTCAAAAGTGATGTTATCAGTTTCAGTGGTGAAAATTCATATAAATCTATGACCCTATAATATGCTTCGTGCCTCAATCTCACTTTGCTTTCGCAATTTGCACTATTTTTTTATATCATTGCCCTCAAGTAATATTTTTTACTTCACAGGTTGACTGTATTCTCTCATCAAACATTTTTTAGAATTTGTACACCAAGATATTTTAATATATTTTTGTTCATTTGCCGTTTTCAATATTCACTAACGTTAATAATATATTATATGTTAATAACGTGTAAAAATTACATAGGGACAATGATTTCTTTGTATACCATGTCTGTAATTTGTACAAATTTATTTATTAAAAATGTAATATATTTTATTTTATGGATAAATTATCAATTGAAGTCGAGGAAAATTGGTGTCCAAGCATATTAGGGACGGGAATGTCAAAGATGTTTAGCAGTATATTATTTTATTTGAAAGTGATAAACCATTTTCAAACAAACGATTCGTTTTGAAACTGTGGATTCAAAATAATTATTCAATTTACACTTTTTAGAATGCCCTGTTTTTCTTTAATAAAAAAAACTGTGATATATTCAAGGATTTGATGGTAAGGGTCTTACCACAAAGTTACAAATGTCAAAGTTAAAAATGAATAATTATCAAATTTTGTTTTGGGTTTTCCATTGTAGTAAATGTCACATTTTATACTTAAAATAAATGGTTGTAACATGTCAAATAAATTTGTCATTTTAGTATTTTCAATGTATAAAACTATTGGTCACGATTTGTTTTTTGTTTTCCATAAATGTGAACACTTGATTACATTTTTATAAATATATTAATGTGTACCGTGTCTGAATTTGAAATGCATAACAGAGAAAATCTTAAATTAATCGTTTTAACTGTAATTCTTGAGAAATGGTTTAAATTTTGAATAATTTTGCATGTCTAAATTAAAAATTACGGCGCTCAAGTAATTTTTAAAAATAGTCAAATAAGTTCTAAATTTGTACCGAATTTTTGCCAAAAAATGGTACAACTTGATTTTCGAAATCGAGAAAAACATTCGATAACTTTACATTTGTTTTGATTTGTTATAATTCTTATAGACCGGTGACCCCCCTCTAAATATTATCCATTACCACTAAGCCCCGTGCCCTCTGTACTGGCTTTATAGATTTCCTTTTGTTTTAAAACTATACAACACGTATTTTTTTTTCTTCTTTATAATTTTAACTTAAGTCGTTACATTTTAAATCGTTATACGATTGTGGGACACTTGTATACACAAAACTGGTTTAACACGCATTTTGCTGTCAAGAGAATATAGTCATAACACAAATATCAAATTTAAAGACGACGTGTACAAGTCATGTATATTATGGTACACATAATCATTGGCTGGGTTTTTACACGTGGTTTTATTTAAAATAAATATATATTTTTTTAGATGAATATTTAAGTAATACCTTTAGCAGTTTTAAATAAGTATATCGAAACGTCTGTGTGAAAAAAACCCAAAATAAGATGATTGAATCGAGAATATTGTCTACTTAAATATACGAAATCTGCGAAAAACACGGGTTTCCGACATTCAAAGAAAAACTGTAGTGCCGAATTTTTGTTTCGTCTTATATATTATAGACTCATATGAGTTCGAACTACTGACAAATTTTCAACTTAAAGGCCTTAAAATTACGACTAAAACCCCCCAAAAATTATTACGCCCCCCCCCCCCAAGGGGTGGGAAATAAGCATAATTTAAATTTGATACAACTGACGTGTGTGGGCATACCAAATAAATATTTCTTATAAATTTCAACTCCAACCGACTTATTTTCTCGAAATTATAGCCAGTAAAAGTTTTATCTTAAAAACTCGTTGTTTTTTTAAATTTTAACTATGAACAAGTAAACTTTTCAACTTCCCCCCCCCCCACCCAGAAACCAACTAGATGACATTTTTTATGTATAGAGTTTTTACTTGAAGGATTTGGTCTAGTGTATACATACAAAAAAAAAGCCCGAATGATGAATGAACCAATACCTTCGCTCTTCATCGAAGCTAAAACGTTTTTCTGGATTTTTATGTAAAAGACATTAAGAGTGGTTATTTTATATGTTTTTTAGGGACGGTGATTGCGAATTTAATATTCATTTTCAATTTTACTCAGCCAAAAAGAACTTAGTGGTGACGGGGAGGTCACAGGTTTACAGGAATTTTTAAATCTGAAAATGGTAAAATCATCCCCATGCCTATCCAACTCCACTTAACCCTATCCTCATCTATAAGGATCAATACTCTAATATTTAAATTATTTGCAAGTTTCAACAAAGCGGTTTCACAAAGAACTAAACTAAAAAATGACCAGAAAAATGTGAGTTAGATCTTCGAAAAAAACGTGGTCAAATAATGCATTGCTCCTGAGGACCCTAAAGGTAGAAACCGAACCCTATATATAAATACTAACACCAAAATTGTCACGCTATATAAATATTTAAAAATTAAGAGGATTGAAAGCAGTCTGTTTAGCGGCCACTTTTCTTTGTTATTGTGGGAATCTATTGTTGATATTTCAATTAAAATTGAAATAAGTTCTATTTTAATTTCTTAAATTTTTAGTATTCATTTCCTTGTTTTTTTTTAGGTAAATCGAATCGTTATTAAAAATTCCACAATAACCAGGGAAAAAGGCCAATGACCTTAAATATTTGTACAAAATTAAAATCCTGTCTAAATTGGTTTCTTGTGCCTCCAAAATGACTTTAACTCATAGAAAAAAAGGTAAATTGCTTTAGGATTTGAAAAAATCCAAAAGCAATTTATCTTTTTGATGTTGTGTTTTATTTTTAAATATTTAACTTTAGTACACGGTCCCATATTGTAATAATATTGAATACTTATTAGATTTTTAAGTAGGTTAAATAGTGTTTATTTTTGTGAAAATTAGGATTTTCGAATTCCCGTCAATATTTAGAATATCATCGAAATTTAATGTTGCAGTCGTCGGCTGCTCTAACTTGTATCTTCTATTGAAAATGTTTAGAAATAAACAAGAGAAAAAATAATGAACAGTAAGGAAGCCCCTAATAAATTTATCAGATAATATTTTATATTGTAATTTAAATTTAGTTTAATATTTGTGTGTGACACATACATTTCATAATACTTAACTCAATGAATTTGGACTTTGTTAAATAGGGCCCACGCTTTTCTTTTTAGTAAAAATTTAAAGATGTTTAACATTATTTTAAATTGTAGTTCATTTTCGGTTGTTTTCAAAGTAATTGACGTTTTAAATAAAATATGCTACAATTGATTGGTAAATTGTTCTTGTAATAAAATTATTTTTTACTTTTTAGTTCACTTTTTACTATTTTTTTTTTAAAAAAGCATGTTTTTAAAAAATATTTTATTTAATTATTTTTTTTTTTTTACTTTTTAGTCCTATTAAAGGTATTTAATAATTGCTGAATTGATTACTAAATTAATTTTAGAAGATATGAAAAAAAACATATCTAATAATGGGTAATTATGGGATTTGGCATCAATTATGGCCGGTTAGGGTTATTAACACATTTTCACATAATTTACATAATAATTAATAAGAACTAAGAAACAGAACTACCATCAAACTATGGGGTTTTCTGAATAACATAGTGTGGACTACATTAAAATTCTTTTTTTCACCTACTATACTAAGGTATAACCGAACAATTTTTTAAGTTTCGGGCAATTAATGAGAATTTTGGAGTATTAATGATACAAAACAATTTCAGCATAGTGTGTTATATTAACAACGTATGTGTGATAACGCATTTTCAGCTAAACTGTTCATAAATAGAGATACTAGTATGTTTTTTTGAATCAATGATCTACGAATTGGTTAAAGTTATATAGTTTAAATGTTTTCCGGTTTATTAATAAAACTTAACTAAGAAGAGTTTTATGACATTAATACATTCCTAGTGATTTTTCCGAGACTTATTTTATGTTTTGAAACCTTGGGTCAAGTGTTATACCTATTTATTAATGAATAGAATATATAAAATATCTCTTCTAAAGTAAATAGTAAGGCGAAAAATTCGCTGACCTTTGGGGGAAAATATTTCATTATACATGCCATAATAACTGTATAAAAAACTGAAAAAATTGTAACAAATAGACAATAGTACAGTTTGTTTTCTTGAACGTGTACAGAATATTTAAACCAGAGGCCCAAATTTAGATTTCAAATTGATAATATACGTTAGGTTTTATTTTATACTCTGAATTTTATTCCTATTAAATACGCTAGTATGTTACAACAAACGATAAAGTGTATAAAAAACACATATCTAGTAAACATATTTTTTTTTTTGGTATTATTTACTTTAAGTTCGTATCGATATGAAAAACCATACTAGTATAATTATTTATAATATAATATATTTTATTTAAGGTCATAGTTATTAAGTTTTGTTTCGATGTGAACGACATATTATGAGTAATAGCACACAGTACTGTGTTAGAAAATAAAAACCATAGACTAAACATTCCTGTACACCTGTATAAATAAAATATATTCACGCACTGCAAAACTTATTTCGATTTAACTTTTTCAAGGACAAACAACGAATCACTATAAAACGGTTGATTCAATAAAGTTCACAATAGTTCTATCAGATTTTCAAAGCTAGTAAGTACTTAATGCATTTTTATTAAGTTTTTTGTATTTACTATTTTTTTATTTTCGAGTTTAGATTAGCGATAAACTTTTAACCACTAGGCTAATTTCATTAATAATATATTACAGAAATTGTAGACCGTTTTGTATTGATCAGAAATCGAACCTAAAATTTGGCTCATTAGGCGCAATATTTAAAGAGTTTCATTCCAAATCAGCAAAGATAATAATAAAATGTGTATATGTTTCATTTCAAATACGAAACATTATGTAAACCTTTGTAAAAAAAAAAAGTTTTTTTAAATTTGATATGATATTGGGCTTTACACTAGCATTTATTAAGGCGCATTGTATATAGACAATTTTTCACTAAAACTTAACATAAAGCTAAAATGTTTAAACATACATATTACCATAGGAAAGAAGTATAAGAAATTCTTATTTTATATTTTTTTATTTTTGTGTTTAGATATACAGTCTAACCTAACCTAACTTATCCAATTATATTAGGAAGTGAATAGGTAAGATAATTTCATTTATAATATACCACAACAATTTTACACCGTTTTAGTCGTGTAACATGTCTATAGATCAGAAATAGAACTTAAAATGTGCCTCATTTGTAACAATATTTAAAAAGTTTCATTCAAAACCAGAAAAATAATAAAAAAGCAATTTTTTTTAATTTAAAAAGTATATGAAATATGTACATTTTTTTTTTTTTGATAATTTGTGCTCTATAAATATCATTTTTTAAAACTAGTCAAAATAAATGTCAATTGGTAGGAAACATTCTTTAGATTTGGTACTTCCAAATAATAACACTTTAAATACTTCATGTAAAATTTCACTAAGCATGATTTGATTTAAACATTAATGCGAAGCTTAAATGACACTTTTTTTTCAACGATGCGTTTTTATTAATTTTTAAAAAAAATTAAATAAGTTCACCTATTCTATAACTTTTTTAAAAATAATAAAATTTGTATGGATTAATTTATTTTATTTTGACCATTTTATCTGAGAAAAATCGCTTAACTACGATTTTCTTATCTACAAATTAACTACATCAATATATGGTTTTAGTGATTTAGAAGTTATCATTTTTAAAATAAAACTTCCTCAGTTTCTCATCTTGGCCAACAATAAATTGAAGACTATGTCTAATACAAAAGGCTTTTATATATGTTAACTACTTTTTGCAGATAAAAATGAAACGTTTTTGTGTTTTATTATCATTTGTTGTTGTAAATGTTTTAGCAGATACAAATGAACTTATAGGTAACTATTATTTATTTATTTTGAAACTGACCTACTCGAGGTAATTAAAAATCTTTAAATAATTTGATAATATACTTACTACAGATATCTGGTGGAGTGCGGTGGTTAACACAAGTTGGTATTTTTTTTATCATACAAATTTTACTCTAATTTCAAATATTTATTTTAATTTATTAATTACAGATAAACAAATCCAGCGAGTGCAATGTCGTGATGGTATAATATACACTTATTATTAGAATTTATTTGTTACTTCAACTCATTATTTGTTTACTCTAGTGCGTTTGATACCGGTAATTAAACATTTTGTTGCTGGAGATAAATCGATGAGTAATTATAATTATTAAAGTATTTTAAAGTTTTGTATTAGGTACACATCTCTTATACATTTATGTTATGCACATTTTAGCGGATTTGTCGTTGATGTTTAGTGGACCATGTAATAATTTTTCTTAAATATAAGGACGTGTCTGCACATATTTGTTTGATGTTAACTATAAAATGTTCTCATTAAAATTCCAGCTAAAATAGGTGGCCCCAATTCCAACTATGAAACACTGCAACGTAATTACTCTTATAAATTTTAAATTTAGAATCTTTTTATGTATAATTACATACATGCATAATTGATACAAATTCAGATTTATTATGTACTTACATATTTATTTTTATCTCAAGAAAATATGTACACATAAATTGTAAAAATAATTTAAATTAATTTTTTTTCAATTTTAGATAGCTTAGATTTAGAAATTGAATTACAAACAGCCATAACTACCTTGTTAGGTAAATATAATAATTTGTGAATATACAATTTCAAAAATTATAGTCATTTATTTCCAAGCAAAACAGATGAAAATTGTATTTGAGTTCATAAATCTTAGAGCTATATATTTTCTTACTAAAACGTTTGCTAGTTGTTCGAAGTATAATAATTATTCAAACGGCTAATAACTAGTCTAAATAAATGTAATTTTAAATAATATTATAAATTAAATATAAAATTAGATTTTATTTTCTGTATAACTATTTAATATTTTTGTTACAGGTGTTCCTGTCCCTGAAGAAGGTAATTACGCATTTATTTGTTAATAGGTTAAATACTAATCTTAATTTGAAATATATTAACCAAATATATGTCAATAGGTTTATGTTTATAGGTCCGCTAAAACTTCATATAAAATAAAGATAAATGTACTAAATATAGAGGAATAATTAGTTATGTTTTAATTATTCAAATTATGTAATTAGCAATACATTTTGAAAGTTCTTCTTGTTTTATGAAAAATGTGTTCAAAATTAGACTTTACTACCGTATTTGCATTTTGAGTTAAAAACTGTCAGTCAAGACAGGGTGATCATCTTATCGCAAACCACTCAATATCTCATAAAGTTTAATAAGAAATTAAAATGTTTTTTTTTTTATACAACGTGATCTCAAATTTACATAATTTTTTTTGTTTTACCACCCTCTCAACTTAATATTTTTGATAGCTACTTTTAAAACTTAAATGGTAACGTATTTATTTTATTAACTTTTTTATTGAGAATAATGTATTAAATGATTTGGCTGGTCGATAACTAGTTTCGGATAACTATTTATGAAGTTATTGAAGTTTCAAGTTTAGGGCAGGAGGAAAGGTGGAGTGTAGTATTATTTTTATCTCTGCGCATTTCCCAACCGCACTTCCCCTCCTATTCTAACTTTAAAACTTTTATAACTTTAAAATTAGTTATCCGAAACTGGTTATCGACCAGTCAACATTTTTAGTACATTTTTCTCAATTTAAAAAGTTTAAAAAATGTATACGTGACCATTTAGGTTTCAAAAGTTGCTATCAAAAAAACTAATTTGGGAGGGGGTAAAAACAATATGAAAAAAAAATATTTTAATTTCTTATTAAACCCTACGAGATATTGAGCGGTTCACGATAAGTGTATCACCCTGTATACACCATCCAATAGCAGAAAGTAAATTTCAATAAAAACCATCTGCTATCCGTTTGCTTGCTAAATTTTAAGATAGTGTCGCCATTTATTATTAGAATAATGACAATTATTAAGTGGCATATAATATTTTAATTTATGCTATTTTTATTAAACTTTTTTGTATCTGAACTTACAATTTGTTTTCACTAGGTAGAGGTCTATTACGTACTGCAATGAAAAAAGTGGGTTGTGCATGTGGTTCGACTGGTAGTTAATATAATTATTTAAGATATAAACATAAAGCTTATAAAACTGTATTAATTGTGTTAAAAAAAATGTATCGTTGATTTATGCAAATGAATCAGTGATATATCGTTGCTTAGCGACAATCTTTTTAATTGTAAAAAAAGAAATAAATTATTCAATGGCTTATGTGAAACAAACTTTGCTAAAATTTTAAATCATATTGCTCGGGACTTAAAAGTAGTGAATATTTACAAGACAGAATATACTTGTTTAATTAATACATAAGTATAGGAAAATAACTTTAACTACTAATTTATCTCCATTAATGACACGAGCAACTATATGTATAACATTTTTGTAATCAACATTGTTTTTTATTATATTTTACAGATTATAAAAATACGCATAGTATGAAAATTATGAATGAGAGAAAAAACCTATTTCGTGATGCTACAAAACTGTCTATCATTTCTACATTAAGTAAGCATTATATCAAATTGCAACAGTTTAACGTGTTATTGTCTGTGTTAATTAAACAATAACACAGAATTACTTTGAGGCAAGAGTTAAAGTAAAAATGTTGCAGAGGAATAAATATTTTATTTTTATTATTATTCTGCTAGTTAAGTGCTAACAGCTTTTAAATTCGTCTAAACTATTTTTCACAATATGTCTACAATAAATACTTATATATATATATATATATATATATATATATATAAGTTTATTCACACTTTAACTTTTTTAATCTGAATATGACGACTATGGAAAGTTGTTGTTGGTGTATTGAATTGTAAGATAGTTCTTCAAATCTAAAAAAAAAAATAATAATAAATCATTAATTTTAGCTTCAATGCAAAGCGGCGAAGGTATTGCTTTTACTCTGATGTGGGCTTTTTTTTCTGTATACACTGTAACTTCTCTTTATTACTGGACCAATTCCTTCGAGTAGCAACTCTATAAATCACAAATTTCATCTAGTTGGTACTTTAAGAGGGGTGGGGTAAAAGTTGAAAAAGTTTACTTCTTCACAGTCGAAATTTGAAAAAAACCGTACGAGTTTTTAAGTTAGAACTTTTACTGGTTATAATTTCGAAAAAAAGAGTCGGATCGAGTTGAAATTTATTAGAAATATTTATTTGGTATGTCCGCATACGTCAGTTTTATTAAATTGAAATTATACCCATTTCAGACCCCCCTAGGGGGGTAGAGTATTTTTGTTTTTTGGGGTTTTTAGCTTTAATTTTAAGACTTTTAAATTGAAAATTTTCCAGTAAATAGAACTCATATGTATCCATAATATATTGAACGAAAAAAAAATTTGGCACTACTGAAAAACTTCATTTATTTCCGGAAAATTGTATTTTCGCAGATTGCGTATATTTTAACAAAAACACCTTAAATCTTACAAACACGGTATACCGGGGATACCCCGAGTGCGTCCCGAAATGACCTTTTTTAGCGTTCCGAGTGCGTCCGCCAAAAGGTATCATCCGAGTCCGTCCCAAAAATAAAAATTAATTTTTCTAACGTAGCCCGAATTACAGGACTATTACAGTAGAGTATAGACATAATGGAATCAAAGCAATGAGGAAACGGAGAGGTCACAGGTCTACAGGAATTATTATAAATAAAAGTGATAAAATTGAATAAAATCACTTTCAAATAAACGCTTTGATGCTTACTTGTAAATACAGAACCTCAATTTAATACTTTCTAACTTTACTGGTTTAAACTTTGATTGGATTGGACTGTACTGGCTTGGAAATACTAACTACCGATTTGCATCAAAGCGTTTTTTCGAAAGTGATTTTATCACTTTCAGATTTAAAAATTCCTGTAAACCTGTGACCCCCCCGTCCCCATTATGCCCCGACCCCACTATACTGGTTTTTTATTACTTATTCAAACTAAATGTCATGTTTTTATTTTTTATTTATTTAATAATACAATACAGGCCAAGGCCCAGTGACATATAAAACGTGCACATTTGTTTATTACAGTAAATAGTAAAATATATGCATAATAATAGTCATAAAAAGAAATGATAAAAGTAACAGAAATTGAATGCTCAACGGGAACTAAGCTTATTTTAAAGAGAGAAAGAAGAGTCAGTATTGGCAATGCGCATAAGACGAATAATTGGAGAGTTCATATAATAGTTTAAGGAAGAGGAAGGAATATAAAAAGGGGCAGATGAACGTTTGCGGCAGCAGGGGACATTGAAGGAAACTCCGGATAGAGAATCAGGGCTGTCAATATGGTATGTTAGCTAAATGTCGGTGATCAGCGAGACTTTCAAGGGAGAGAAGACGTTGGATTGGAGTATAGTCATGAGGAGGACAGGGTACGTTAAGTTTATAGGCAGCGTGACGGTGGAATTTTCTTTGAACCCTTCCGATCATATTACGAGCAGAAGCTGTCCCAGATTACAGAGCCATATTCGATAATGGGACGAACTAGAGAGCAGAAGAGATTTTTCTGAGAAAGTCTTAAGAAAAAATTTTTGGACCTGTTAAAGACAGAGAAACGGGAGAGTGGAGAACAAGAAAAATAAGGAATTGGAAAGGATGTTCCGAAAAGAAAACATGTTAAGCGTAATCAGAAACCGAAGACTTCAATGGGCTGAACATGCTATGCGAAGCCAGAACTATCTTATAAGGATGATCATGGACGAGAACCCAGTTAGTAAGAGACCACTGGGAAGACCACGATTGAGGTGGGAAGATGTGATAAGAAAAGACGTGGAAACATTGAACGGAGGACGGGATTGGAAAACAAGAGCGGTGGATAGGGAAGGCTAGAGGATTGGATGTGTGATAGGATGGTCTTGATGGCCGGAAAACCCAAGAAGAAGAAGAAGAAGATGGTATCCCATTTATTTTTCCATTAGTTTGCACATAGCTTTTGTTTTAGAGTCAGTGTATGGAAAATTAAGAATCAGTTGTTAAATTGAGTTTATTTTCTAAAATGTTGATTTTGTCGTGTTGAGCAGAATTTGAGTATCTTCCTAATAATTTGTTTTACATATAAAACTGGTTTTTTTAAAAAAAAATGTTGATGGTCACCTTTTAGCATCAACATTGTTTTTAAATATCATTTTTTCAAAGTACCTCCGTTTTGAAAAAACAATAAAAACGAAGAGTAAAAAAAAATATTATATTTTAACCTGTTCAAACTAAAAGTAGCTTTTTAGTGATGTCGTTTTATAGAAGAGGTATAAATTAAGCATATTTTTCTTTGAAAAAAAATATAAATACAATATTTTTGATGTTTCAATAATTTTCCTAGTTTATATAATTAAAACTATGGTTTGCTTATTAAAGGTGTATTTTATAAAAAATGTATGACATTTGATATACGAGGTGTCCAATCTATTTTATCTCCATTTAAAAATGTTATTTTCTTACAGTAACAAAGCTGTACAATACGAATCATCTATATAGCATTAATCACGTGTACGAGTATTAGTATTAGAGTACTAGTTATGCCTTACACACTGAATAAATGTAGTAACTAGTAAAAAAAGGTTGGCAAATTTTAAAATATATATATTTTTTTTTTTTAAAGGACCAGACCATGAAGATTTCGGAAATTGTAACCTGATGTGTCGGTTGAAAGGTCTGTACAGAAGTATAATAACTGACTTCTATAGATATTTGGTAATAAAAGCTGAAGTTATTGGTGATCAGTGTCGTCTGACTCGTCCTGACAGAAAAACAATCACCTTCAATTGCTTTGGAGACTTAAAGGATCACATTCGGGATGACAATTGGGAATTCATTTCCGATTATTAATCATGTACATTAAATTCTTTTGAGAAAAACATGTTAAGCAATTTGTAGACCTTAGAAATAAAAAAAATATTCTTGATAATGTTAAGACGAAACATCATTTGGTTTTGGTAACGATACAATAGATAGGCAAAACAAGTATATGCATGTAAACTATAAAGAAGAACAGGAATGAAACTTTTTTATAATAACAACTGACTGAAGTGAAAAAATATTCTATTTGTGACTTGATTGAATAAAATATAAACACATTTAATGGTATTAATTAAGTGAGTATTACCAGCAGTCGAGATTAATCATAAAACTCATTTTTAAAAATTTAAGCGTTTTACTAAATAATTACTGGTACGCATGTTAATATGTATTGTATTGCAATAATGGTTATTTGATACACAGAGAAGTTATGATAACACAGCGTGATCAATTAATAATGCAAACATAATATTAGTTTATCAATTCTATACTGAACTGTTTTATTACTTTGTTTGTGATGAGATCATGTCCTAGTGATTTCCTTGATTGGTAACTTAACGATTTTGTACTGTGCTTAAGTACAATTACTACATTAACTACCATTGAGTGAAGGGATAGTATAAACTCCTTAATTTCCATGTCGTATGTACTTTTAAACCAAAAATTCAGTTTTAAACAAATTTTTGAGCCTACAATGATTAGTATATTTTATAAATATATATAAATAAATCTACTATATACATTAGGGTGGTCCTGAAATTTGACATGGCGTTGGATGGCCGTCATTCGACTCTAAACACTGAAAAAATATTTCTTTAATTTTTTCAGATTTTTATTTCAATTTCTCGGTCTCTCTGTTTGCACATCAAATGTATAAATTTGTTTTTTCAAACTAACACCTAACCTAACCTGACCGAAATGTTTGGACTTTTTTTCGACATAGTAGCACCCATATACCTAATTAAGGATTACGAATTTCAGTTTTAAATGCTATTAACTTCATAAATATCTGTTCAAAACTTTAAAAATAACCTAAACATTCAAATATACATTTGGAAATTTTAAAACAATTTTGTTTTTGATATGGTAAAAACCGAAAGAGACCTCGGAATAGCTACTCGGGTAATCTGGAGAAATTTTGCATAAATGCCCGGGGAGTCAGCCTATCCAATCAATATTTAATCAGTGTAAGTTATCATAAAAGTATTTATTTTCCATTTGGGTCTCATTAGCTGAAAGTATTACATGTGATATTTTTTTACTGTATATTTTGTATAAAATTGTAACGATTAGAACGGATATTTTCTAGTGTGTACAGTACATTTTAAACAGAGGCCCAAAGTTAGGTTTCCAATCGATAATGTCTTAGATTTTATTTTATACTCTGAAGTTGACTTGTATGCATTAGTAAGCGAAAAAGCGTGTAAACATCTCACACAGTTAGTAACATTATTTTTGCGTCTTATTTACCTGAAATTCGTATCGTTGTGAAATAAACGGTACTACTATAAAAACGTTTGAAACTTGATAATGGTCTATAAACCCAGAATTTTCTTACTATGTTAAATGCGTTAGTGTAAAAAAGACCTTGAAGTATTAAGCTTAAAAACACACAGCTATTTTCATTTTTCTTAATGTCTTGTTTTTTAAGTTTCATATCGATGTAAACAACAAATGAGTAATAGACCACACAAAACCCTTCGTTGAATCAATACACAACCACAAAAACCATTTTACAAAATTGGAATTTTGCACACAACAATGCGTTGACAAATAACGTGCTTTTCAATTTAAAATATGTAGGATTAATTTTTGTACGCTGAATTACTGTTCTTTTACAAACCGTTTTAAGCCAACCCAATACCAATGTGGTTAGCCAGCCAAGATAATTTTTAGAAGAAAAAAAAATACAACTTTACTTGTTCAAGATTCTTCTATTGAAATGGTATACATGTCTTGACACGGTACTGCCTAGATATTTTATTTGTATTCAAAGACTATAAAAAAATATTTTATTCTTACACAGTTAAATTTTTTTAAATTGTATGCTGAAAATATTGGTGTTACACGCGATTGTACCACTAACGGCTATAAAGACGGTAGCCTAAAGTTTTCTTCACACTTGTTCAAATAGGTACACGCACTGAAATATATATGTGTTTTTGCAAAATTTATTCCGGTTTTTCAGTTTCTGCGACGAGTCACAAACCAATCACTTTAAAAAGGCGGTTTTAACAAATAAGTTCACAAGAGTTCATCCAGAAATTCAAAGCTATTAAGTTTTTCTTATATTCTATTTTTTTTTTATTGTAGCATTTAGATTTGCAATCTATCCTAACATAATCTAATCTAATCGCTTGGATTAATTTCATCACCGTTTTGTTCGTGTAGTACTCAGGGTGGCCCACAAAGATTTGACAAATTAAATAACTTTTGTTTAAGTGAATATATTTAAGATTTTATTTTTTTTTTAAATACTTTATACTCATTTGCGCTATAGGCACCACGGTTTTTATTGCACGTGTGTTTTACTTTTTAAAATAATTTTTTTTTAAAAATTCAAGATAGCCATTTTGTTAAAAATAATCTGATGAAAATGTTGGCTGGTCGATAACCAGATTTGGATAATTACTTTTTAAGTTACTAAAGGTTAAATGGTAGGATGGAACGGGAAACCCATGATTTTTTTAACGAATTTTAAATAGAAGAATAGACTATTTACCTAGTTAACTAATTCAGTTGTATTATTTATGCGATCTTAATAACCAAACATGGTATATGCCCAATAAGGATATAATTAAATTAAATAAACGCGTTATTCTTTATAAGGAATCTTAAATAAATGAATTGACAAATTAAATTTAAATATTTACTTTGACCGTAACCGTTAGCGATGATCATTTACACATTTTCACACAACTTATATTATAACTCACAATTGAAAGAAAAACTTTTAAAAGCTGAGATCGATACTATTTAAAGTATATGAGATAAATGGTATCTACTCCTGTCCTGCACTCTTTAGGCGTAGGTGTATATAATTTTAATAGAGCTGATCTTATGACAACGTTCCGTAACGTGAACTACTTATAGTCCAAATAATAGTCATTGTTATAAATTACATTGCATAGTTAATAAGAACCAAGAAACAGAACTACAATGAAATTATTGGTTTTTCTGAATAACATAGTTAAGATTACATTATATTTCTTTATTTTTCATCTACTATAGTAAAGTATACTTGACAATTTTTTAAGTTCCGGCAATTAATAAGATTTTTGGATAATATACGTTAGGTATTATTTTATACTCTGAATTGTATTCCTATGAAATACACTAGTATGATACAACAAACGATAAAGTGTTCAAAAAACACAAATCTAGTAAAAAAATTTTTTTCGGTCTTATTTAAGTTCGTATCGTTATGAAAAAACGTACTAGTATAATTATTCATAATCTAAATTATTTTATTTAAGGTCACAATTTTCTAGTTTCGTATAGATGTTAACAACATAATATGAGTAATATCACACAGTACTGTGTTAGAGAATAAAAACCGTAGCCTAAACATTCCTTTACACCTGTGTAAATAAAATATTATTCGCGCACTGCAAAACTTATTCCGATTTTACTGTTTCGGTAACAAGCCAAAAAAACAAATCACTTTAAAAACGGTTGTCTTAACATAGAAGTGCACGAGAGTTCTACAAAATTTTTAAAACTAGTAAGTAATTAATGCATTTTTATTAATTTTTTTTATTTACTATTTTTTTATTTTCGTGTTTAGATTTGCGATAAACTTTTAACCAGTAGGCTAATATTATTAATAATATAGTACGGAAATTGTACACTGTTTTGTATTGAACAGAAATTTTAAACACACGTATTACCACAAGAAAGAGGTATCTATTTGGATAATTTTTTTTTCAACATTTAAAACTCAAATATGATCATTTTCAAGGCATCGGCAGTGGCACAATTTTAAAAAAATTTCCAGTTAATTAAATATTTCAATATAAAATTTTTAGCTATAATTTTTGGCTTCTTTCAACTAAAATAACTAATTAACTGAAAATAGTTTTAAAATTGTGCCAAGACCAATGCCTTGAATATGTTGTAAAGAATTCAAATGTTTTTTTGAAAGTTTAAATCGATATATTCTTAAAGTATCGATATGAAAAAATGTTAAACCGTTTTAGTCGTGTAGCATGTCTAAAGATCAGAAAACGACCCCATAATGTGCCTCAATAGGCACATATTTAAAAAGTTTCAATTAAAATCAGAAAAATATTTTATTTTGACCATTTTATCTCGGAAGACATTTTATCTTGAATCAGCTTCTCACCGAAGCCAATAATTAATTGAAGACTATGTCTAATACAAAAAGCTTTTATTTTTATTATTGTTTGCAGATAAAAATGAGACGTTTTTGTTTTTTAATATCATCCGTTGTGCTAAATGTTTTAGCAGTTTTAGAAATACATCATGATAAATTTCTAGGTAATTATTATTTATTTTATTTTTATCACTTGCCTACTCGAGGAAATTGAAAATCATTAAATAATTTAATGATTATTTGTTGACAGTTGAACTTATAAAACAGACTAACTTAACAAGTTAGTAAATTTATTTCATCATACAATTTTAACTCTAATATTAAAATATTTGCATATATTTATTTTAATTTATTAATTACAGATAGACAAATCCGGCGAGTGCAATGTGGTGATGGTATAATAAACACTTATTGTTAGAATTTATTTGTGACTTCAACTCATTATTTGTTTACTCTAGTGCGTTTGATACCGGTAATTAAACAATTTGTTCTTGCGGATAAACCGATGAGTAATTATAATTATTAATGTATTTGAAAGTATTAGGTTAGTTACACATCTCTTATACATCTATGTTATGCACATTTTAGCGGATTTGTCGTTGATGTTTGCTGGACCATGTAATAATTTTTCTTAAATATATGGACGTGTCTGCTCATAGTTGTTTGATGTTAATTATAAAATGTTCTCGTTAAAATTTCAGTTGTAGTATCTGAACCAAATCACGACGATGAAACACTGCAACGTAATTACTCTTATAAATTTTAAATTTAGAATCTTTTCATGTATAATTACATACATGCATAATTGATACAAATTCAGATTTATTATGTACTTACATATTTATTTTTATCTCAAGAAAATATGTACACATAAATTGTAAAATTAATTTAAATTAATTTTTTTTAATTTTAGATCGCATAGATTTAGAAATTGAATTACAAACAGCCATAACTACCTTGTTAGGTAAATATAATAATTTGTGAATATACAATTTCAAAAATGATAGTAATTTATTTCTAAACAAAATATATGAAAATGTGATTTCAGTTCTTAAATTTTAAAGCTATGTTTTCTTACTAAAAGTGTTGATGATTGTTCGAAGTATAATAGTTATTCAAACCACTAAAAACTAGTCTAAATAAATGTAGTTTTAGATACTGTTATAGATATTATATAACATTGGTGTTTATATTGTATAACTATTTAATATTTTTGTTACAGGTGTCCCTGTTCACGAAGAAGGTAATTACGCATTTTTGTGTTAATAGGTCAAATACTATTCTTTAAATTTAATATAAAATTGGTTTCTATTTTTTGTATAATTATTTAATGTTTTTGTTACAGGTGTCGCTGTTCCTGAAGAAGGTAATATATTAACCAAATATGTGTTAATAGGTTTATAGGTCCGCTATAATTTCATATAATACAAAATAAAGATGAATGTACTAAATATAGAGGAATAATTTATCATATTTTAATAACGCTTACGTTATATTTATTAATTGTAAAAAAAAAAGAAATTATTCAGTTACATGTTTGAAACAAACTTAACCATAATTTTGAAACATATTGCTTGGGACTTAAAAGTAGTTAGTATTTACGATGCATATACTTGTTTAATTAAAACATAATTATAGGAAAACTACTTCCTACTAGTTCGTCATAAGAAAATTTTAACAAAAGCTTATGGAAATTATAATTAAGTTCATAAATCTTAAAGCTTAATGTTTCGTTACTTAAAGTTTTGATGATTGTTTGAAGTACAATAATTATTCAAACGGCTAATAACTAGTCTTAATAAATGTAGTTTTAGATAGTGATATAAATTTATTATAAAATTGGTCTCTATATTTTGTATAATTATTTAATGTTTTTGTTACAGGTGTCGCTGTTCGTGAAGAAAGTAATATATTAGTCAAATAATACGTGTCAATAGGTTTATAGGTCCGCTATAACTTCATATAAAACAAAATAAAGATAATTATGTAATTAGCAGTGCATTTTGAAAGTTTTTATTGTTCTTTGGAAAATTTGTTGAAACCTAGTTTTTACTACCGTATTAGCGTTTTGAGTTTTAACTGTTAGTCAAGACATATATACAGTGTATATTATACACCATTCAATAGCATTAAGTAAATTTTAATAAAAATCATCTGCTATCCGTTTGCTTGCTACATTTTAAAATGGTGTCGTCATTAGTTATTAAATAATAGTTATTATTAAATGTATATTTTGTTTTCATTTGTGTTAATATTATTATTTGAAACTTTTTAGTATTTGAACTTATAATTTGTTTTTATTAGATAGACCTAGAAGTCTAGTACGTACTGCAATGAGAACTTTGTGTTGTTCAAGTGAACCACAGGATTCGTCGGGTAGTTATTATAATTATACAAAACATAACCTAACTTAAAATAACATAAAAATAAAGATTATAAAACCATATTGTGTAAAAAAAATGTATCTTTGATTTACGCAAATGGAACAGATATATATTGTTGCTCAGCGACAATGCTGAACATTACGCTTACGTTATATTTATTAATTGTAAAAAGAAAAAGAAATTATTCAATGACATGTTTGAAAAAAACTTTGCTATAATTTTGAAACATATTGCTTGGAACTTAGAAGGAGCTAGTATTTATAATGCGTTTACTTATTTAATTAATACATGAGTGTTGGAAAATTACTTACTACTAGTTCGTCATAAGAACATTTGAACAAAAGCTTATGAAAATTTGTATTTAAGTTCATAAATCTTAAAGCTATATGTTTTCTTACTAAAAGTTTTGATGATTGTTTGAAGTATAATAATTAATCAAATGGCTAATATCTAGTCTAAATAAATGTAGTTTTAGATACTGTTAAACAAAATATAAAATTGAAATTTTTTTTCTGTATAATTAAGTAATATTTTTGTTACAGGGGTGGCTGATCCTGACAAAAGTAATATATTAGTCAAATAATATGTGTCAATAGGTTTATAGGTCCGCTATAACTTCATATAAAACAAAATAAAGATAAATGTACTAAATATAGAGGAATAATTTGTTATGTTTTAATTACTCTAATTATGTAATTAGCAATATATTTTCAAAGGTTTTTTTTGGTTTTTGAAAAATTTGTTCAAACTTAGACTTTACTACCGTATTTCGTATTGAGTTTTAACCGTCAGTTGAGTTTTAAGACATATATACACCGTCCAATAGCAGAAAGTAACTTTTTATAAAAACTATCTGCTATCCGTTTGCTTTCTACATTTTAAGATTGTGTCGCTATTAATTATTAAACAATGGTGATAATTAAGTTGCACATTTTATTTTTATTTATGCTAATTTCATTATTTGAAACTTATTTGTAACTGAACTTATAATTTGTTTTTTCTAGGTAGACCTAGAGGTCGAGTATGTACTGCAATGAGAACTTTGTGTTGTACAAGTGAACCACAGGATTCGCCGGGTAGTTATTATAATTATATAAAACATAAAAATAAAGATTATAAAACCGTATTCATTGTGATAAAAAAAATTTACTGTTGATTTACCCAAATGGAACAGTAATATATCGTTGCTCAGCGACAATGCTGAACATTACGCTTACGTTATATTTATTAATTGTAAAAAGAAAAAGAAATTATTCAATTACATGTTTAATCAATGGCATATGCGAAACAAACTATGCTATAATTTTGAAACATATTGCTTGGGACTTAAAAGTAGTTAATATTATGCCTTGTAAATACTAATTAAAACATAATTATAGGAAAACTACTTACTACTAGTTCGTCATAAGAACATTTAAACAAAAGCTTTTGAACATTTGATTTGAGTTTATAAATCTTAAAGCTATTTATTTTCTTACTAAAAGGTTTGATGATTGTTCGAAGTATAATAATCATTCAAACGTCTGATAACTAGTCTAAATAAATATAGTTTTAGATAGTGTTATAATTTTAATATAAAATTGGTTTCTATTTTTTGTAAAATTATTTAATAAAGAACATTTGAAAAATACTTAATTGCACTACATTAATAAAATGAGCAATTATATTTTGTTTTGTATAACATTTTTGTAATCAACACGGTTTTTGATTAATTTATACAGACTTAAATACTGTCCCTGGACTTGCAACTGAGAGAAAAACCCTATTTCGCGATGCTACAAAACTATTTATCAGTTCTGCATTAAGTAAGTATTATATCAAATTGCAATAGTTTAATTTTCGTTATACGTATACATATAAACATGTTGTTTCCTGTGTTAATTAATCAAAAAACTGAATTACTTTGAGGCAAGAGTTAATGTAAAAATGTTGCAGATGAATAAATATATTTTTTTTTGTTATTCGCCAGTTAAGTACTGACAACTTTTAAATTCGTCTAAACCATTTTTCACAATATGTCTACTATAATTAAATACATATTTATATTAACATTTTAACTTTTTAATCTGAATGTTACTACTATAAAAAGTTGTTATTGGTGTATTGAATTGTAAAATAGTTCTTCAAATCTCAAAAAAAAAAAAAAAATTAAATCAATCATTTTTTATACTCTATTCAAACTGAAAATAACGTTAAATAGTGAGGTTAGGTAGGTACATGAATATATTAAATTGTAATTTTTTATATATATTACAAATATAATCATAACAATTTTTTTAAAACTGATCTATGTTAAGATAAGAAGAATGTTCTTAAATTTGTTTTCGATTATTTTGGACAGGATCATATTAACTTTTTCTTTACTATTTGTTTTTATCGTTTTTTTTAAAGTATCTTTGACCTTTAACATAATTTTTTAAAAATCAGTTTCATATTTAAAGTAATATTAGCTCACTGAAAAAATATTTAATGTTTTTTCGAGTAACAGAAAATTATTTAATTGAGTTTATATTCTAAAATGTTAACCAGAATTTGAGTAGTATTTTTTCAGAAGTTTGTCACTATCGACCAGCAACATTGTTTAAAGTACCTTTGAAAAAACGATAAAAACGCAGAGTAAAGCAAAATATTATATTATAACTGTTCAAACTAAAAGTAGCTTTTTAGTGATGTCGTTTTATAGAAAAGGTATAAATTAGGCATTTCCTTTGATAAATAAAATAAATTCAACTTTTATGATATTTTAATATTTTTTCTGGTTTATATAATTAAAATATTGGTTTGCTTTTTAAAGGTGTATTTTATACAATTTTCATGACTAATTGATAACGATACACGAGGTGTCCAGTCATTTTATCTCCATTTGAAAAAGTTATTGACTTAGAGTAATATACGGATCATCTGTATATATCATTCATCACGTGTATTGTTTATGCATTACACACTGAATAAATGTACTAACTAGTAAGTTAAACTTGGCAATTTTTTATATATACCTTTTTTATTTTTTAAGGACCAGGCCATGAAAACTTCGGAAATTGTAACCTGATTTGTCGATTGAAAGGTATATACAGAAATATATTAGAAAAAGATATTACTGTAACACAAGCTGAAGTTGATGGTGATCAGTGTCGTATAACATATAATGCCTATATTGATGAGGATAACGACAATGTTAATAATACAATCGTCGTAAGTTGCGTTAGGGATGACATTGGTGTCATCAATGCTTCTCAGTTATTATAATTTAAATCATTTATCTTAGAGATAAACTCATTGAAAATTATACAGTACTATTTTTATTATATATAAATAATTATTCCAAATCACATTTACATTCACATTATAAAATTTAATGTATCTTACAATAAACCATTTTACTTACGATTATAAACTCATTTGTTGCTTTTTACCTGTACACAGATTCGATTCGAAGTGGTTTTGAAAATAGTGTTATTTTTAATCATCCTCTTTAATGGCTTAATATAATCCATTCAAGCTCTATGTCTGAACCACTAGTCTTTATAGTTTATAGTTGCCTTTTTTCGAATTTATTTATTTATAACAAATTTAGGCCATTCTGCTCTCTTTTGAGAATTCTTTGAAGTAATCAAGCACACATTTTTTTTTGAAAAAACTTAATATAATTACCGTTTGATTATTATTTAAAACTATAATTAAAATTAAAAAATAAGTACAAAAACTCGTTTTGAAATGTGTAACGTTTAAAAATTACTAACTTGAGCGGATTTTTTGGAAAAATAAAACGACTCACAAGATATTGATTCATTTCAAGACTTAGACAATTTAAAAATATGCAACACTACACGATATTTTTCTATTCTGCGATTTTGGAAGGTATTATAATATTTTAGTGTAGACTCAAGACTAGTTTATTATTTGACCGAACAAACACAAATTGAAGTAACGCAATATTACAAGAATCGAAAATTATATACTTTGCAGTGAATTCATCAACTAAGTTTAATGCATGAAAATAAATTCCATTCTGTACTAGAAAAAAAAATTGTATTAGAATTTTATAATATAATACTTAAATATTTGTAAATAAATGAAACTATTTCGATTCGTTTGACTTTTATAATTTTTTTAATTTTCGGTTAATCATTATGTGCACATTAAATTCTTTTGGGGAAAAAAAATGTTAAGCAATTTGTAGAACTTAGAAATAAAAAAAAATATTATCGATAATGTTAAGAAGAAACGACTTCTGGTGTTTTTTAACGGTGCAATAAATAGGCAAAACAAGTATATGCATGTAAACTGTAAAGAAGGACCAGAGTTAAACATTTTTACAATAACAACTGACGAATAAAATTGAAAATTTGACTATAGTATATTAGTATGTTACTATGTGCGAGTGAATCAACAGTTAACTGGTAACAAAAGTATAGTGTCATTAGGTGGTCGATTGAACGAATTTTTAAGAATGACAGACGAACAATATTAGTCAATTTTTAAACAAATTTTTGAGTCTACAATGATTAGTATATTATATACAGGGTGATCCAACTAACGTAAGACACTCATTTTCTCGGAAAATATAAATATTTTGAGAATTTTTTTTTTTCTAAACTTTTAGGTACATATTTTACTACATTTTTCAATATTTAGAATATTTTTATCTTCAACCCTTATATGTAAAACAAGTATCACATTTGGTTTTTTAAATAGGAACGTATGTTTTTAATTTCATAAATCTGTAGACAACATTTTTAAAAAAGTTTTAGCGTTTGAATTTCTAATTTTCATCAATCGGTTTTGTAGTTATTACGTTGTAAAGATTTGAAATTTTGATCCATATTTCTTTGGGATTTCAAAACAGGTAGCATATTAAATACTATTAAATAATATTATCGACCTCGCCCCGTCGTCCGTCGATAAAACCGATAATCAGATAATAGTAATACTCCTTACTTTTTTTTTTATAATATATGGAGATGCGGTTCTTTACCTACTGTCAGAAACCGCGATACCATATACATGTCTGGTCAATTGTTCACATATCTTATCAGTAGACAACACTTACGACGAAATTTTTTCCAACCTTACCTACCTATATTATCACGGTATGATTATGATATATTATCAAGCCCAAAAAAAGTGCGTGCAACCGGCTGCCGGCAACGTGACTTGCATTGTGTATTCAGAACCCGGAAACGTCCTATACTCCTATGCCGTTTTTTTTGTTAATACATTTAACTATTTAAGTAGAGTCAATTGTGTTTATATATTCTCTAATTGTGACTACATTTTATATTGCTCTACAATGTACGATGAAAACTAATAAACATAATGATTTCATAAGCAAAAACTTATTTCTACTAGTAATAGTAAACATTTTGTAAATATATTTTTGATATTTGACATATTATGGGAAGTAGGTTTATCAGTATCGAACACCGATTACACTATAGCGTAATAATAATAATAATAAAATATATTTCGTTTGTCAGATCTTTGTAGGACACCCTGTATATAATAAAATATTCTATTTAAAATTGTAATTATTACTAAAAGTATATTCTACAAAAAAATGAATATTGATAAAAAAAATATTTACATTAGTTTAATAATAATTAAAAGAGCACAAGTGAACAACAGTTGAATTTTCAAATCAATACAACTACTTTATTTTATTTTATGTACATTTACTGACTTGATTAAATCATCAAATGAAAAAGTTTGATTTATTGTTAACATGTTATAACCTATACGCATTTATTTGTCAATCATTAATATTTTGAAGAAAATATTTGGTATAAAATGTATGGATGATAGTCAAACACCAAGTTTAATTAATTTTATACTCCATAATCAAATATCCGTTATGCATTAGAAATGCAAAATATGGGTTAGATTACAAAATTTTAAATTAAATAAAATCTGACATTAGATCTACCATAAATAAAAATATTAACCAAATATGAATACATTTGCTTCATTGATAAAAAAAAATATTGCTACATTTTTTTTTAAAGATGATTTCATTCATGTAAGAAACTAGAAAACAAAAGCTACCACATAACATAAAATCTAACTTTTTTCATTTGTTAAGCCACATTAAAAAAATGAATAGTCAACTATAATTATAGAGTGACTTGACTAAAATTTTAGTATTTAATATATTGTACTTACAGCTTTCCTGCGGTTAGTCATCAACATTTATTCCAGTTAAACTATAATTAACAACTGTTAATTGGCCATATAATAATAATATATTACGTATAGTATTAAATAAATCAGTAGGTATATTGTATAACTTGGTTGTTATGTTGAGTTTTTCAAGTCTTAAATACAAATTTCACTATTACTAATGAGAACTAATTATATTAATGAAATCATTACATTCATTATAGTTTCAAAATAAATTGTAAAATGTATGTCACTAACCACAATTAGACATTTTAAAACACAATACTAGTTTCTTCTTTATATATAAAAAAAACTGTTCACAAATCACGAGTACACGTTGTTTGTTGTTTGACAATTTAAGTTTTACTCATACCATAGTATAATGATACTGTGATAATAATATTAACGCTATATTATAATCATACCGTAAAAGTGGTTTAAGGCAAAATCGTCCACATCGCAGTCTACTGATAATACATGTGAACGGATGACGGTTATGTAAGGTATATTTGTTTCCAAACAGGTAGATTAAGAATCGATTGTCCATATAATAATAAAAAAAAATTAGAGCCAGAGTTATTTATGTCTCATTATCGGTGACAGTATTATCGATGGGGTCCAATATTATCATTATTTACTGGCAAATAAAAGTGCTACTGCTGAAAAACCGAACAAATATTGATTTTAATTTCAAATCTTTACTAAGTCACAGAAAACGAACAGATAGTTGAAAATTGAAAATTCAAACGCTAACAATTTTTAAAAAAAATTGTCTACATACTTATGGAATTAAAAACATATGTTTCCATTTGAAAAAACGAGTTTCGTAGTTTTATAACGTATAAGGGTTGAAGATAAAAATATTCTAAATATTGAAAAATGTAGTAAAATATGTACCTAAAAGTTTAGAAAAAAAAAAATTCTCAAAATATTTATATTTTCCGAGAAAATGAGTGTCTTACGTTAGTTGGATCACCCTGTATACCTACTATATACATTAGGATGGTCCTTAAATTTGACATGGCTTTGGATGGCCGTCATTCGACTCCAAATACTGAAAAAATATTTCTTTATTTTTTTTCACATTTTTATTTAAATTTCTCGGTCTCCCTGTTTGCACATCAAATGTATAATGGTTTTTTTTAACCTAACATAGTAGCACCCATATATAGGGTGATCCAACTAACGTAACACACTCATTTCTCAAAGATTATGAGCATTTTGAGAATTTTTTTTTCCTAAACTTTTAGGTACACGTTTTACTAAATTTTTCAATATTTAGAATATTTTTATCTTCAACCCTTTTAAGTATATGTAAAACAAGTATTTCATTTGTTTATTAAATGGGAACTTATGTTCTTAATTTTATAAATCTGTAGACAACATTTTTAAAATAACTTATTACGTTGTAAAGATTTGAAATTTTGATCCATATTCATTTAGGATTTCAACACGGGTAGCTCATTACTTACTATTAAATAATATTATCGACCCCGCCGTCCGTCGATGGAACCGATAACCAGATAATAATAATTCCCCTTTACTTTTTTTTTTTTTAATAGGTATATGGAGAAGCGATTCTTTACCTACGGTCGGAAACCGTGACATCTTACACGCGTCTAGTCAATTGTTCACATATCTTATCAGTAGACAACACTTTCGACGAAATTATTTTCTAACCCAACCGTTCAATATTTTCATTATGATATTAAAACCATCGTTTTGTCCAAAAAAAGTGCGTGCACCGTGACTTGCATTGTGTATTCAGAAACCGGAAATGTCCTGTGCCGTTTTGTTACAACATTGAAGTATTGTCAATTGTGTTTTTCAATTATCTAATTGTGACCGAATTCTATATTGCTCAACAGTGTACGATGAAAACTAATAAACGTAATGATTTCATAAACAAAGACTTGTGATATTTGACATTATAATGTATTACCCTGATGCGGAAGTAATAACAGCTAATCATTGCTGATAGTAATGATAATAGCAATTAATACGGAACAGATGTAAGAAAGTAAAATTTATCAAATATCACAATAATTTTAATTTATAGAATGAGATTTTATTTTTTTAGAAGGAGATTTTTTATGAAGAATACTGTTGAAATATGCATTGAAATTGTGAAAACTTTTGAAAATTGACATTGCGTGTTGTAGTGGTTTGTCAAGATCAATATGACATTATTCAGTTATGTTTCAATTATAGGTATGCATATTTCATTGATGTAAATTGCATAAATCTATAATATTTTGATCTGATTAAATTATTATCATGTATTTTAGCCGTTGTATCTTTATTTTGGGTTACACAGTTGGCTTATAAACCAAAAAAACATACAAAACACTAGTAATATTGTTTTAGATTAGGCATCTTATAGTAATTGAAGTATATAATTTATTAATTATTATATTTATTTTGTTTTAGGTGAAGATTTATTATAGTTTACGTTTCTTTTTACTTGGAATCTTTGAAGAAGGAAATAATCAGCGTTAATTAAACTCAACATTTTGTGTCGAGTAACATTACTTCATAAGAAACCAGTACAGTGGGGTCAGGGTTTACAGGAATTCTTAAATCTGAAAGTGATAAAATCACTTTCGAAAATCGGCTTCGATTCAAATCGGTAGTTAGTATTTTTAAGCCAGTACAGTCCAAACCAAGCACAGTTTAAGCCAGCAAAGTTAGAAAGTGTTAAATTGAGGTGCTGTATTTACAAATAAGCATCAAAGCGTTAATTTGAAAGTGATTTTATCCGAGAGGACTAGTACAGTAGAGTATAGGCTTAATAGAATCAAAGCATAGACGGCACGAACAGGTCGCGGGTCTACAGGAGTGATTATAAATATAAGTGATAAAATTGAATAAAATCACTTTCAAATATTCCTTATAAATTTCAACTCGATCCGACAGTAATCGCCAACCTGAGAGGGAAATGATCGCACATCACTATTTACTCCCAGCATGGAAATAACAAAAACAGCTACTTGCTATTTCTTATACATAATAATAATCACAAAAACGAAAGTATGTAATACTACAATGAAAACAAATAATACAATTATTTAATAGTTTAAACATTGTTAATTACAATACATAATAACATGCGTACCAGTAATTATATTTTAGTAATGTGCTTAAATTATTAAAAATGAGTTTTATGATTAATCTTGACTGCTGTCGATACTTTCTTCATAATTAATAACATTAAATGTCATTATATTTTATTCAATCAATTTACAAATATAATATTTTTTTCACTCCGGTCAGTTGTTATTGTAAAAATGTTTTACTCTGGTTCCACTTTACAGTTTACATGCATATACTTGTTTTGCCTATTTATTGCGCCGTTACCAAAACAAAAAAACGTTTCTCCTTAACATTATCGAGAATATTTGTTTTATTTCTAAATTCTACAAATTGCTAAACATTTTTTCCCCCAAAAGAATTTAATGTACACATAATGATTAACCGAAAATTTAAAACATTTAAAAGTCGAGAAAATCGAAATAGTATTATATTATAAAATTATAATACAATCTTTTTTTCTAGTACAGAATAAAATTTACTTTTATACATTAAACTTAGTTGATAAATTCACTGCAAAGCATACGTTTTTAGATTCTTGTAATATTGAGTTACTTGAATTTGTGGTTTTTTGGTCAAATAATAAACTAGTCTTGAGTCTAAACTAAAATATTATAATACCTTCCAAAATCGCAGAATAGAAAAAAGTCGTGAAGTATTGCATTTCAAGTTAAAGTCTTGAAATGGATCCAGAACTTGTGAGTCATTTTACTTTTTCAAAAGATCCGCTCAGTTTAGTCATATTTAAACGTTACACATTTCAAAGTGGATTTTTGTATTTATTTATTTTTTTAATTTTAATTATATTTTTAAATAATAATCAAATTGTAATTATATTTAGTTTTTCCAAAAAACATGTGTGCTTGATTACTCCAAAGAATGCACAAAAGAGAACAGAATTACCTAAATTTGCTCTAAATAAATAATTTTGAAAAAAGGCTAAACTATGAAGACATAGGTTCAGACATAGGGCTTGAATGGAATATAACAAGCCATCAAAGAGGATGACTAAAAGAAATAAAACTATTTTCAAAACCACTTCGAATCGAATCTGTGTACAGGTAAAAAACAACAAATGAGTTTATAATCTTAAGTAAAAGAATTTATTTAAAGATACATTAAATTTGATAATGTGGATGTAAATGTGATTTGGAATAATTATTTAAATATAATAAAAATAGTACTGTATAATTTGTAATGAGTTAATGTTCAAGATAAATGATCTCAATTATAATAACTGAGAAGCAAGTGAACGATTTTTATTATATTAATGATGTTCTTCTAATCAGTCATCTCCAATATCACTCCAAGTATCCTCCTCCGTGTCGACCCCAAAATTCACCTCCAATGTCATCCCCAATGCAACTAACAGTGATTGATGTTTCGTCATCACGAGTTAGACGACAATGGTCACTAAAAACTTCAGCTTGTATTATGCTATAATCATTGTCATAATCTATTATACCTCTGTATACACCTTTTAGCCGACACATCAGGTTATAATTTCCGAAGTCTTCGTGGCCTGGTCCTCAAAAAATAAAAAAGGCATATTTAAAAATTTGCCAAGGTTAACTTACTAGTTAGTACATTTATTCAGTATATAAGGAATAACTAATACACGTGATTAATGCTATATACAGATGATCCGTATAGTACAGCTTTGTTACTCTAAGAAAATAACATATTCAAATGGAGATAAAATAGACTGGTCACCTCGTGTATCGTAATCTATTAGTCATAACATTTGTTTAAAATTAAACAAACCATAGTTTTATTAATATAATCTAGGAAAATAATTAAAATATCAAAAAAAAATGAATTTATATTTTTTATCAAAGAAAATGCTTAACTGACCCCTTTTCTATAAAACGACATCACTAAAAAGCTAAGAAAAATCGAAAAAAACGGAAAAAGCTGAGACATAAAATATATAAATTTCAAATTTTAACTATTGATGTTTTAGAAAAATCGAAAAAAACGGAAAATTATCATAATTTTACCCATAAAATTTTTGATTGCTGAAATAATTTTTTGCCAATTTTTTGACTTTCCTATCATTTTTTTTAATTACACATGTAATAAAATGGTAATATAAAATGTAATATAAAATTTTCCCAGACTAATAAAAAAAATGTTAGGAAAATTCTCAAATTCTGGTTAACCCGGCCAAATCAACATTTTAGAATATAAACTCAATTTAATAATTTTCTGTTACTCGAAAAAACAAACAAATATTTTTTTCATAGTGCTAAGACTACTTGATATATGAAAATTATTTTTTAGATAGAAAATACGATAAAAATCGATAAAAACAAACAGTCGAGAAAAAACATGATACGGCCATGTCCAAAAAAATTGGAAAAAAATGTTGAGAACATTCTTCTTAACTTAACAAACATTCATTTTAACAATTTTTGTCATGACTATATTTTTAATATATATGAAAATCATAATTTAATATATTCATGTATATAAACAAAGAATATTATTAAAGCTTAAAAAATGCTTTAAGTATACGTTGTCTATACAACGTTATCTTTAGTTTGAATAAGTTATAAAAATATATTGATTTATTTATTTATTTTAATTTTTGATTTAACTATCTTACAATTTAATACACCAAAAACCACTTCCCATAGTCGTCATATTTAGATTAAAACTGTTAATATACAAATATATATTTATTTAATTACAGTAGACATATTGTGAACATTGGTTTAGACGTATTTAAAAGTTGTCAGCACTTTACTGGCAGAATAGAAATAAAAAAAAATATTTATTCCTTTGCAACATTTTCACTTTAACTCCTTCCTCAAAGTAATTCTGTTTTTTAATTTAATTAACACAGGCAATAACACGTTTATATGAATATATAACAAATATTAAACTATTGCAATTTGATATGATACTTACTTAGTGCAGAACTGATAAATAGTTTTGTAGCATCACGGAATAGCTTTCTTCTCTCTTGCATTTTCACATCCACAAATATATCTGTACAATTTAATAATAAACCGTGTTGATTACAAAAATTGTATACAAAAATAATATATTTACTCGAGTTATTAACGTAGTACAATTAAGTTTTTGTTCAAATGTTCCTATGACGAACTAGTAGTAAGTAATTTTCCAATACTTTGTATTAATTGAACAAGTATATGCATTGAAATACTAACTACTTTTAATTCCCAAGCAATATGTTTTAAAATTATAGCAAAGTTTTTTTCAAACATGTCATTGAATAATTTCTTTTTCTTTTTACAAATAATAAATATAACGTAAGCGTAATGTTCAGCATTGTCGCTGAGCAACGATATATTACTGTTACATTTGCGTAAATCAACGATACATTTTTTTTTACACAATATGGTTTTATAATCTTTATTTTTATGTTATTTTAAGTTAGGTTATGTTTTGTATAATTATAATAACTACCCGACGAATCCTGTGGTTCACTTGTACAACACAAAGTTCTCATTGCAGTACGTACTAGACTTCTAGGTCTATCTAATGAAAACAAATTATAAGTTCAAATACTAAAAAGTTTCAAATAATAATATTAACACAAATGAAAACAAAATATACAACTTAATAATCATCATTATTTAATAATAAATGTCAAAACTATCTTAAAATGTAGCAAGCAAACGGATAGCAGATGGTTTTTATTAAAATTTAGTTTCTGAATTTGGGATAGTGTACATATCTCTTGACTGACTGTTACAACTTAAAACGCTAATACGGTTGTAAAATCTATTATGAACCAATTTTCCAAAGCACAAGAAAAACTTTCAAAATGTATTACGAATAATATATTTTGGATAATTAAAATATAATAAATTATTCCTCTATATTTAGTACATTTATCTTAATTTTGTTTTATATGAAGTTATAGTGGACCTATTAACTTATTGACACATATTTGGTTAATATATTTTAAATTAAGAATAGTATTTTACCTATTAACAAATAAATGGGTAATTACCTTTTTCAGGAACAGAAACACCTGTAACAAAAATATTAAATAGTTATACAAAACACCAATTTCATAAAATATTTATAACAGTTTTTAAAACTACATTTATTTAGACTAGTTATTAACCATTTGAATAAATATTTTAATTATTTTAATTGACAATTAAATTTAAACATTTAATTATATAATTATTTTTAACTTTTAGTAAGAAAACATAACAATTAAAGATTTAAGAACTCAAATACAATTTTTATCTATTTTGCTTAGAAATAAATTACTATCATTTTTGAAATTGTATATTCACAAATTATTATATTTACCTAACAAGGTAGTTATGGCTGTTTGTAATTCAATTTCCAAATCTATGCGATCTAAAATTTAAAAAAAAAAATTATGCATGAATATTATACATGAATATTATACATGAAAAGATTCTACATTTAAAATTTATAAGAGTAATTACGTGGCAGTATTTCATCGTCGTAATTTGGTTGAGATAATACACCTGAAACATTAACCATAACATTTTATACTTAATATCAAACTACTATGTGCAGACACGTTCTTATATTTAGGAAAAAATATTACTTGGTCCAGTAAACATCAACGACAAATCCCCTAAAACGTGCATAACAGAAATGTATAAGAGATGTGTAACTAACCTAATACTTTCAAATACATTAATAATTATAATTACTCATCGGTTTGTCTGCAAGAACAAATTGTTTAATTACCGGTATCAAACGCACTAGAGTAAACAAATAATGAGTTGAAGTCACAAATAAATTCTAACAATAAGTGTATGTTATACCATCACGACATGACACCCGCCGGATTTGTCTATCTGTAATAAATAAATTAAAATAAATATATGCCAATTTTTAAAATTAGAATTACATTTTTATGATAAAATAAATTTACTAACTTGTTAATTCAGCCTGCTCTAAAAGTTCGTCTGTAAAAAGTTAATCATTAAATTATTTTATGATTTTTAATTACCTCGAGTAAGCAAATGTTAAATATAAAAAAAAAAATAATTACCATATAATTCAAAACCTGCTAAAACATTTACCACAACGAATGATAATAAAAAACAAAAACGTCTCATTTTTATCTGCAAACAATAATAAAAATAAAAGCCTTTTTGTATTAGACATAGTCTTTAATTAATTATTGCCTTCGATGCGAAGCTGATTCAAGATAAAATGTCTTATCAGATAAAATGGTCATAATAAAATATTTTTTATTATTTTTCTGATTTTGAATGAAACTTTTTAAATATTGTGCCAATTGAGGCACATTTTAAGTTCCATTTCTGATCTAAAGTCATGCTATACGACTGAAACGGTGTAATATTGTTGTGATATGTTATAAATGAAATTATCTTACCTATTCACTTCCTAATATAATCGGAAAGATTAGGTTAGGTATAATTGTATATCTAAACACAAAAATAAAAAAAATAAAATAAGAATTTCTTATACTTCTTTCCTATGGTAATATGTATGTTTAAAAATGTTAGCTTTATGTTAAGTTTAGTGAAAAATTATCTATATTCAATGAGCCTTAATAAATGCAAGTGGCCCATTAACATATAAAATTTAAAAAACTGTTTTACATAGTTTTTCGTATTTGAAATGAAACATATTGTACTTATTTTTATTATTATTTGTCCTGATTGATTTGGAATGAAACTTTTTAAATATTGGGCCTAAAGATGCAAATTTTAGGTTCGATTTCTGATCAACACAAAACGGTGTATCATTTCTGTACTATATTATGAATGAAATTAGCCTAGTGGTTAAAAGTTTATCGAAAACCTAAACACGAAAATAAAAAAAATAATAAATACAAAAAACTTAATAAAAGTGCATTTAGTACTTACTAGCTTTGAAAATCTGGTAGAACTAAGTGAACTATGTTAAATCAACTGTTTTATAGTGATTCGGTTTGTGGTTTGTCCTTGAAAAAGTTAAATCGAAATAAGTTTTGCAGTGCGTGAATATATTTTATTTATACAGGTGTAAAGGAATGTTTAGACTATGGTTTTTATTTTCGAACACAGTCTGTGGGCTGTTACACATATGTTGTTAACATTTATACAAAACTCAAAAATTATGACCTTAAATGAAATATATTAGAATATGAATAATTACATTAGTACATTTTTTCATGTCGATACGAACTTAAAGTAAATAATACCAAAAATGAATAGGTTTACTAGGTATGTGTTTTTTACACACTTTATCGTTTGTTGTAACATACTATCGTATTTCATAGGAATAAAATTCATAGTATAAAATAAAATCTAACGTATATTATCAATTTGAAATCTAAATTTGGGCCTCTGGTTTAAATATTCTGTACGCGTACAAGAAAATAACCGTACTATTTGTTACAATTTCCAGACACAATAAATAAATAAATTAATATATATTTTTTTATACATTTATTACAGCGTGCATAATGAAACGTTCTCCACTTTATAGATGGAAATGTGGTTGTGATGGGGATGGGGATGGGGTTTTACACAACTCTTTTACACAAAAAACCAGAAAAATTGTTTGGCTTCGATGCAAAGCGAATTTGTCAGTAGTTATAACTCATATGTGTCTATAATCTATTAAACGAAGAAAAATACGGCACTACAGATTTTCTTAAATGCCGGTTTTCCTTCAAAACTGTGTTTTTCGCAGATTTCGTACATTTTAAGAAGTTGACAATAATCTCGAATCAATCCTCCTATTTTAGGTTTTTTTCACACACATATTTCGATACATTTATCTGAAAATGCTAAAGGTATTTTTCAAATATTCATCTAAAAAAATATTATTTTATTTTAAATAAAATCACGTGTAAAAACCCAGCCAACAATTATGTGTACCATAATATATATGACCTCTACACGTCGTCTTTAAATTTGATATTTGTGTTATGACTATATTCTCTTGACAGCAAAATGCGTGTTAAACCAGTTGTGTGTATACAAGTGTCCCACAATCGTATAACGATTTAAAATGTAACGACTTAAGTTAAAATTATAAAGAAGAAAAAAAAAATACGTCTTATATAGTTTGCAAACAAAAGGAAATCTAGAAAAGTCAGTACAGCGGGTACAGGGCGTAGTGGTAATGGAGAATATTTAGAGGGGGGTCACAGGTCTATAAGAATTATAACAGGTCAAAAAATATGTAAGCTTATTGGATGTTTTTCTCGATTTTGAAAATCAAGTCGTACAATTTTTCGCGTGTAAAGGACAAAAATTCGGTACAAATTTAGAACTTATTTGACTATTTTTAAAAATTAATTGAGCCACGTAATTTTCAAGTTAGAAATGCAAAATATTCAAATTTTAAAATACTTCTTAAGAATTACAGTTAAAACGATTAATTTAAGATTTTCTGTGTTATGCATTTCAAATTCACACACGGCACACATTAATATATTTATAAAAATGTAATCAAGTGTTCACATTTATGGAAAACAGAAAACAAATCGTGAACAATAGTTTTATACATTCAAAAATACTAAAATGATAAATTGGTTTGACACGTTACAACCATTTATTTTAAGTATAAAATGTGACACTTACTACAATGCTAAAAAAATCGATCCTTCATCCTCAAAATCAGGAAAACCCAAAACAAAATTTCATTTTTATTCAATTTTAACCTTGAGATTTGTAACTTTGTGGTAAGACCCTACCTACAATAACCTCAAATTTAAATTTCATCAAATCCTTTAACATACCGCAGTATTTTTTTATTAAAGAAAAAAAGGGCATTTTAAAAAGTGTAAATTGAATATAACTATTTTGAATCCAAAGTTTCAAAACGAATCGTTTGTTTGAAAATGGCATATCAATTTCAAATAATATAATATACTCCTAAATGCCTTTGACATTCCCGTCCCTTATATGCTTTGACACCAATTTGCCTCGACTTCAATTGATAATTAATCCATAAAATAAAATATATTACATTTTTAATAAATACATTTGTAAAAATTACAGACATGGTATACATAATAATCATTGTACCTATGTAATTTTTACACGTTATTAATATATGATATATTATTAACGTTAGTGAATAATGAAAACGGCAAATGAACAAAAATATATTAAAATAACTTTGTGTACAAATTCTAAAAAATGTTTGATGCGAGAATACTGTCAACCTGTCAAAAAATAATACTTGAGGGCAATTATATAAAAATATAATGCAAATTACGAAGGTAAAATGAGATTGAGGCACAAAGCATATTACAGGGTCATAGATCTATATGAATTTTCACCACTGAAACTGATAACATCACTTTTAAAATGAACTCTTTGATGTGATAATTTAATGGTAGATGTACTGGTGTCAATACATACATAGAACCTAAAAAATGTATTTTTATTGTTAGGGTGAATACGATTAGGGTTGATCGTTTGTCTATAACAATTTATTGCCATAATTATTCAATTCTCGGTTGACTATTGATTCTCACAAATTGACCAAGGTCAAAGTGACATTTTTTTTTCTTAGTTTTTCTTTAATAAAAAAACCTTAGTCTTAAAACTAAAAATGCGAAATGAAGAAAAAGATTTCACCCAATCTAGGGGAATAGGTTTATGTTACTTTTTTAGTTTGACAACGCACGGTAGTACTTTGTCTAAAGAATATTCCATTAAAATTTTGATTCTTTTTAAAAATGTATAGAACACCGTAAATTTCAGTGGAATAATATGTACATTTTTTGGCGATCTCCCTCGATTTCGAAAAACATTGTGTCGGTATTATTTGTTTTGTGTATACAAGTGTTTCACAAGCTATAACGTATCATATAATCTATACTGAATCAACGGATGTGCAAGTTATTTGTGTATAATATAGATTTTAAGAAATAAGAATATTTTTATCAAATTTAACTTTTTATGTTCTTATGTAGATGTCACAATGATCCTAACGTGCTGGATTTTTTTCTTTCATTAAAATATTTAGGTCTAAACATAATATCAAAGTCTTTTGTTGAAATTTGTTTAAATTACTTTTTAGATTTATTTTATAACATAAAACACCATATAATTGTGGGCTATGCATACGAATTGAATACAAATACTAGAAAAAAAAAAGAAGAAGTATTCATCTAAACAAATATATATTTTCATTTGCGATAAAATCACTTGTAAAAACCCAGCCAATGTGTGGCATAATATATAGGACTTGCAGACGTCGTCTTTAAATTTGATATTTGTGTTATGACTATAGTGGTGGAATTATAGATAAAGCTGAGGTATCTGAGGGGGCTGGTAAACATATCAAGTTTCTGGCTAATATTTTAATGTTTTCATATTATCTGGCCTAAAACAAATCATAGGAATATGACCTCTTAAACTATTTTGAATTTATTATTTAGTTCTATTTTGACCGTTGTGAATACAACATATCTATTATCTCTTGTCAAAAAACCGCGTAACGCGTTTTCGCTTATGTGCCAGAGCTAAGACATCCCCATCCCCATTATTTCCACCCCCATCCCATGTCGCAGATAGGATGTTGCACTTTAAATTGTTATAGTCTTGAAATGGATTCAGATCTTGTGGGTCATTATAGTTTTCAAAAATATCCGCACAAATCATTTTTAAACGTTACACATTTCAAAACGGATATTTGTATTTATTTTTTTTAAATGTTAATACAATTTTTAAATAATAATGAAGTTGTAATTAACTTTAGTTTTTAAAAAAAAAAATGTGTGCTTGATCACTCCAAAGAATGCACAATAGAGAACATAATGACCTAAATTTTCTATAAGTAAATAATTTCGAAAAAAGGCAACTATAAACTATGAAGACTAGTGATTCAGTCATAGGGCTTTAATTGATTATAATTAGCCATTAAAGAAGATGATTAAAATAAATGATTTTATAATCATAAGTAAAACGGTTTATTATAAGACTCATTAAATTTGATGATTCGGATACCAATGTGGTATGGAATAATTTTTTAAATATAATAACAATAGTGCCGTAAACTTTTTTATGAGTTAATGGCTAAGATAAATGATTTAAATTACAATTACTAAGAAACAAGTGAATACGTTTTACTGATATGTTTCTAATTGGTCATCCCCAATGCAATTGACTGCGTGTACTTTTTTGCCTATACTAGTTAGACGACACTCATCACCAACCACTTCAGCTAGTGTTAGAAAAACATTTGGGTGTATTATACTTCTGTACACAACTTTCAACCGACACATCCGGTTAGAATCTCCGAAAACTTTATGGATTGAAAATGTAGTTCTTAAACATTTTTAAAAAGTATATTTAAAAAAACTCTAATTTCTGCGGTACCGCTGAGGCAACGCAACGTCAAAAAAAGGACGTGTGCACCATAAACTATTATCATGAAAGAAAATCGAATAACGGTCAGAATTCAAATTTACTCTTTATATATGTGGACGGTTAGTCATGTACAACAAAGTCATTTAGATAATACAATAAATAAATTGAAATGTTTAAACCCTTAGCCATGAATTTTAATTTATTATATATAACCATGAGTTGCTCGAGTTTCTTCTACATAATACAATTATTATATTTTAACAAAAGCCCACAGCTATTATATTATACTATTTTAAAATTAAACAAGGTACACGATACACTACTGGCTGTAATCGTGTAATTGACAAATTTGCTATTCCTTCAAATGGTCAATCATAATTTCGCGGAGTTTGAATTTTTGAATTTTACCAGAAGCCGTTTTTGGGAAGTCATCCACGATCATCAAGTGGATGGGCACTTTGAATCTGGCTATCTGCAATCAGTACATAAAACGCACGTTTACGCTATTCAAACCACTCTCGTTTCCCGGTCGAGATAATAATTTATAACGATAAATAACTCACGTTGCCGTGGCAAAAATTTTTTACGCCTTCCTCGTCGAGCTTGGAATTCTTTACGGTCTTTACGGCTGCGCAAACCACTTCGCCGAGCCTTTCGTCCGGTATACCGAACACCTTTGAAAACAAAAGAGTAAAGTAAAGGATAAAAAATCAGTTTAGCTTCCATCCCTTCTGTTTCCATAGCTGAGCGCGACAGGGGTGAAAATATTGCAGAAAGAGTTAAGACTTTTTAGTTCGAGAAGGACATGCTCTCATTTTATACAGACCTGAGAGAGTGTACTTCTTAACTGCCCTGTCGTCTACTAACCTGAGCCTGGACGATTTCTGGATGAGTTTCTAGGAAGTACTCGACCGTCTGGGGTTCTATGTTTTCTCCGCCTCGAATTATAATGTCTTTTATCCTGCCCGTGATCACGCCGTATCCGTCTTCGCTCAATACGAACACGTCGCTACATTTTAATTAACACAAGACCATCGATTAATATGATAATAATATAGAAAATATATTTCTCGTTATCGCTATTGAGTAACCCTACCCCGAACGAAGCCATCCGTCGTCGTCGATGATCTTTCTTGTCATTTCCACGTCTTTCCAGTAACCCGGCATGATGTTGTAGCCTTTGAACAAGACCTCTCCCGGAGTACCCATTGGCACTATGTCGCCGTTTCTGTCCACGACTTTCACCTACAAACACAACATCCTCGTCCATAGTATTAAGATTTTAAAACGTGTTCGTTTTGTTGATCTTCCTTTGTTATCATTACGTCCAACATGAAACGCTAAAACCTCTCATATCAATAATCCTTTTGACATTTTTATGTCTTTGCTATGGCACCCACACGGAAAATCGACACCGACACCGCTTATCATAACGAAAAATAACAGCCGATTTATCTGTTTAGACAAGAGAGATAACAGATAACAGATAAGAGATATGGTTTTTACTTTGGAACGCAACCGGGAAAAAACGACACCGACACCGGTTATCATAATGAAAAATGACAGCTGATTTATTTAATGAGAGAGATAAGAGATAAGCGAAGGAGATAGGGGTTAAGAGATAGGGGTAAGAGATAGAGGTGAAAGATAATGGATGGGTTGGAATGGGGTCGGGGTGGGGGTTGTTTTAAGGATGAGGTTGGAAATGGGGATGAGGATGAGGTCGGGAGTAAGGATAAAGCAAGGAGAGGTCGAGGATGAGTTCGAGGTTGAGGGAGAGGATAAGGATGGGGAGGGGATGTTAAATTTTTTTTATTAGGTATCGTTTTTCACAACGAACAAACTTAAATAAATGGTTAATGAATTACTGGCCAAGTAAATGTTTTGCCAATAAATTGATTAAGGCCAATTATTAAAAAAAATACTAAAAAACTTTTGGCCACAACATAAAATTAATTATCACCTACCATTCGAGTACCGTGGTTACCGTTGTCCCAAACCAAATGTTTACTTTGGGTTAGAAGCAAACCAAATTTCGTATGATATCAAGGTTGTGGAATCGAGGCGGAAAAAAGGAGCGGACGGAGCTCCGCAGTACAAGACATAAAAATTTGGTGTTGCGGACTCGTACGCAAGCTGTTAAAATATAATATGTAATACCTTACTTAGAAAAATAACTTTTCTAATTTCTTTTTTTTGTTTTAGTTATTCATGAATTCCCCCCATCAATAATCTCTTATCGGCTGTTTCTATTATCAGTTATCCAGTAATCCATTTTAATGTCAGCAAAACAGAACAATGTAATAAAGTTGGCTTACTTCGCAATGATCGAGCACTTGGCCAACAGTAGAGCACATTTGATCTTCGGTTTCATCTGGATTAGAAATAAAGACAACAGGACTTGTTTCTGTCATCCCATAAACACTCTAAAATGCAATATAAATGATTACTTCAGAGTTTTTAGTCATCCTGATTACAACAACGACTATTACTATGCGCCAGATAATACAATGTTAGTTATAACTACCGCTAAACGTCCGACATTGAGAACCGTTTTTATTTGTTCAAACAAATGTGGAGAACACAAAGCTCCTCCGCTAAATGCCACTTCCGGTGTTGTAAACGTGTATCCTTCCTGAAGGAGTTGTTTAGAAACACAAATCAAGTCTACGTACATTGTTGGCGTACCATACAAAATTGTACATCTAAAAGTAAATGATTACAAAACAAACTAATCAAATCTATGAAACACATATTATTTTGTTAATTATATTGCCATTTTGAATTTTTTTCTAAATTGTAATTTTTTACAGCATGAATTAATATACTAGTATTAGTTATTAGTGTAATTATTATTGGGCTGGCATTTTATAAATACAATGGCTACGAAGTTATAATAGCCATGTTTGAATTGGGAACAACTATTATAAAGTCGTAAATAATCTAATTTAATCCACAACAAGTCTTATTTTGTGAATAACCGCCTTCTCCAATAAAAATACTTTTCGGCGTTGTTTATCCTTTAATTGTGAAATTTCATTAGGTATTTCAAAATAAATTGCGGTAATAATTGAGAAATACTTACTTTTCGTTAACAATAGCCTTGGCCGATTCGATGGGCTTATAACCGCAAGTCGGCAATACCAATGTGCTTCCACTGTGTAGGCTCGTCATGATTCCAATGACTGTACCGATGGTGTGAAAAAACGGCACTTGTAGCAATATTCTGTGTTCCTGAGATAAACGTACTTGTATATAATTTTTTAACTAACAAAGCACAGTCAAGTCTTTGTTTGAATGATTTAAATGATCATTGTCGAAAAAACAAAGGACCGGATGAAGTTCAAGGCTAAAGCTACATTTCTCTTAATCTAAAAAAATATGCATTTTATGAAATGAATTATGTTTTTCAGAATTGAGTTTCCACGTATTTATTGACCGTTTCTCTGGAAAATATCTAAAATTTATATATTTGCCCAAAACTTTATCCAGAGTATTTTAAAATGTGTCATTTCATTATTGACTCCTTCAAGTCACCTTTTGCTTGTAGCGCATTCTTTTGCAAATGAAGTACGAATTGTTCACGATATTGTAATGCGTTAGGCAAGCTCCTTTTGGGGAACCAGTCGATCCCTGTAACAGTAGGTGTTTGCCAAACATTATTTATAATACAAATTAGATATTTAAAAATTCCATACAACAGTAGCAACTAAAAAGGTTAGGTACAGTTATTATATATAAGAGTTAAATATTCCTAAACTAATATTCAAAAAAAAAAACGGACAAACTAAACCTAGCTGGTTCTATGCTTAAGAGGACATACTAGGCACGAAAATCTTTTTGCATTTTTTTATCGGTTTTGTTAATTTTTACAAAAATACAGTAATCCCAACCAAAATGGATTAGATCCCTATATTAACCATAAATTATGGTTATCCTTTTTTCCGTGGACTCACCGAAGTAAATTGTATATTACATATCGTATGCGGGTCGAGATCAAGGTTTAACTTCTTCAGGTAGGCGGCAGATTTGGTCGTTCCCGATTGGCACACGTCCCAGAACTTGATAATCCCTCTGGAACATACAAAGTAGACTTGACAGTATATGTACCGAAATTATTTTAATAAATTCCAAACAGGTACAGAATTATTTGCATTGTAATATAAAGTTAAGACTTACGGGAGATTCGTTTCAGTATTTATAACGATGAATTCTAAATGGGGTAAATGCCTAGAGGTCACAGGTTTACCGTGTGGTTGGTGTTAAATTTCTGGCACAATTTTCTTTAGCAATTGATAATAATCTTGAGCCGGGTTGTTCTCAAAAGCGATTAACATTTTAGCATCGACTTTCTCCAGACAATGGTGGAGTTCGCGACTCATGTACAACGAATTTATGTTTACCTGCAGAGTGTTGAGATGTAATTATTATAAATGCATTTGTGCTTTATTAGGTCTTTTTAGAGGGTCGCATGGACACTATTAAACATGGTCTTTACAGCTATTATTCCGGCCTTCATTGCAGCTAACAAAGTAATTTCCCATTCCACCGAATTGGATCCCATGATGCCAAGTCGGTCACCCGGTTTCATGCCCATTTCTAAGAGTCCAGCTGCCAGCTCTTCGACCTGCGACCATTACAGAAAACGACAATATTCACGAGTAGACAGAAAAAATAGCCAAGATTAACGTCATTTGATCTAGTGTACATTTAAGGTATATTGGCTAATGTTAATTTACCTCGTGTTTGAGTTCTAGAAAGGTGATTCTTCGGTTCTGTTGAACGGAGACTATGGCCTCCCTCTTCGGATATGTCTCGGCGGCTAAGTCGACCAATTGACCGACGGTCATGTTTATCAACGGTTCATTTTGGATGCCTTTGTAATAACTCGGTTTCGGTAAAATCGAAGAGTCCGTTGAACTGCAAAACAAAAATTGGTCTCAATTTAGAAATTGTGCTTACGAGTTCACGGTACACAACGATAACTCCCAAATCGGCTCAATTTTGTTGTAACTAACAAAAGGTATAAGGAATGTTGGAGACAGGATAAAAGATTGTTTCATAAAAATAAAATATTTCATTGTTTTTTGATAAAATCTTATTTTGCGTTCGGTGGAATTTCAATTCTCCTAAATTAGTACAATATAACAAGGCTATTAAAAACATATTAATATGTTTGATGATCAAATTATGGTTTTTTTATTGAGAACAACAGACTTAAATATTACTCCACGATATTTCATCCAAAATCTTCTTGGAAAAATTTGTATTCCAAAATATTTAAATAAAAATAGTAACTAGTTACAGTATTTATAACTAGTGAAATACAAGTGAGTTTACAAGCAGAACTAAACAAGTTACTAGTTATTTTTTTATTACTCTAACTAAATAAGTACCTAACCTAATTTGTATACAAAATTCTGGTAACTGCGATGCCGGACAAGTTACATTTTCAAACTAACTTAATATTAGTTTATTATATAAAAAAATCTGCTTGCTAGTTGTAATGTTACATCATTTTTTAAGAGAATTTTGCTATAAATAACACATTTCTGAATATCTAAATTTTACAGAATTGTTTTATGAAGAAATCCTGGTAAAACTCAAAGGTAAATAATTGCTGTGTGTGAGTGGCACGTTTTAAACTTAAAATCAACATATATAGAATTATGTAATTGTTGTTTTATCATAAAAATGAATTAGTTCTTAAAATCATTAAGAAAGATGAAACTACCAAAAGATGAATTATTTTTCAGAGATTAGAGTGAATCGGATAAAAAACAACATGTGAAACAATTGTATGTATTTTATAATATTATTTTTTTATTATATTCCAGTTCGTCTCTTACTTACCTTTTGTCATGACCGCTCATTTTATACACCGTTTACGATTTAACTTTATAATATGAAAACAATTTTATTTTAATAGGGAATTTACAGCTTTCAACTGTTTTTCAAGACTACTATTTGATACTGAAAAATTAATTGAATTTCAACACCAGATGTGAGGGAGTAGAGTCTGAATCGCCCAGAAGTAAGTACAGTGTGCACTAATCTACTGCCAAATAATAATAATGATTTCTTACAACGAAAAAAATAAACGCGTTATTCTTTTAGTAGAATTTTTAATAAAGTAAACTAATTAAATTGCAATTTTTATGCTACCTTTATTTTAGAAAATTTTATGTCATATACATGATTTTAATTATAATCAAATTTTAACAATGGCTTATTAATTCACTTATTTTTTTTTTTATTATATCGGCAACCTTAACAGCAAAAAAAATGCATAAAATTATCATTTAATTTTAATACCATCATATAATAAAAATTATTTGGTAATATATTCATTAAGATTTTTATAAATTTCTAGAGTGAATAAAACTACACATCTAATAGCAATAATTTTAAAAAACATAACTATTGAGAAATATTTACTTAGTTTTCATGATTCGTGATTTTTTTGAATTTTTTTGATGGTGCCGGTTTTTGGTGACAAAGTTATAAAGTCGAGAGCTGACAAAATTTAAAGCTCAAATTTGTTTATGATGAAGTATGATGCGTGTCCTTAGGAATAGACGTGACATGATCATTCTAAACTATTTTCAATTTTAAAAAAAAATCGTATGAATGTCGGAGTGCGGTTAAGTAATGCACACTGATAAAAATCAAAACCGGTTATCAAACGTGGGTAAATATTTGGTACCACTAAATACAATAGATATGGAAATGTAACGATCATATTTCACCTGACCGTTAGTTCGCGTCCCAAACCTACTGACACAGCACCCCCGACTATAGGTAGGACAATGCACGTCGCGTATCATCTAATTAACCAGTTGACTTTACCATCAAGGACCGCCAATATCCTCGACCATGCGCTCTATATTTTTGCCGTTTTACTACAAGCCGCCCATCCGACTATCTTTTGTGTGCGTCCGTTTTAACTCCGCTTTGACCAACCATTTCATCGTCCAACCCAGGTCAGAGTGTATATATATATATATATATATATATATATATATGTATGTATTGTATAATTTTGTATTTTATTTAGCAACCCTAATTTAGAATAAAACATCTTGTAGCCTGCAGCTGAGAGTTAGATTATTTAACAGTGTGACCGCCCGTTCTAGCTCCTCGGGCGATATATTAAGTTAATAAGGGAGACTTTAAGGCCAATTAGACGTAGACAGCGCCCTAGCCAACAGTTTTCCCGTGGGGATCCGTCTATTTTAGCCTTATCGACGGCCCTTTGCCTAGTCTAGCCAGCTAGACAAGTAGGTCCGTTACAGAAATACGAGAACTTATATTGTGAGAAAAATGAAAAATTTAACACCAGCAATAATTAAGCCCACGTTTTGTCAAGGTCTCTAGACGGGAACACATTATTATCATTTTACACGAGCTCACGTGTTATTTTGATGACTCACGTCACGTGAGTATGTATGGATGTTGTCATACTAGCATCATTCCATCACGGCATCACACATGCAAACACTAGTCAGACAGTGTTTGATCTTTGTACACAGCTAAACTAGTTCTCTATAGCTGGCCAATTTATAATTAAATAACAACCTAACGTCTAACTTGCTCAATTATTTTATTTTTACATAAGCACTTAAGACTTAAACTGTTTTAACTATTGTCGGCGAAGGGGGGGGGGGTGACGTTTGTCCCACCGAAAGGCCGACCGTTGGAAATTATTATGTTCTACGCTATCGACATAGATATGCCTTTTGGTTAAGGATCAGTAAGAAAATCTGTGCGTCCATCACACTGAACGTTTCTGTAGATAATATGTGCGTGTGGCGCAATCTAGCGGTTGTTTTATGAACGAAAGAGCTGATAAATAATTATCAGATAAGATATGAGAGATAAGGGATTCGGTACCCTTAATTAGGATATGGGGATAAAAATGTATAATATATAAGGATAGTTAAATGAATTTGTTAGGTAGAGTACTTACTTACTGGCGAACCACAGAATTTCAAATTATTTTTTTTTCTTCAATTTAATATAGCGTTTATTTGAAAAATACACAATTCACCCAAAAACAACGACTAAGCAAATAAGGTGATGGAATTACAAATAAGGAGTGAACAAAGACTTGAAAAGAAACTCACATTAGAGTCCCCTGCACATTTGTTATAAAAGTGTTAATTACAAATTTAGTTTAGAAGGTCTCTGCACCATGATCGTTACGAGCGTCGAGGTGGGTTGTTTGGTAGGGTCCGAGTGCCGAGCTGGGTGAAGAGAATTTTTGGATGGTTGGCTAGTTTACTTTGGTATCTGGAGAAATATAAAGAGGAAACATCTTTAACAGTTTTTATTTT